GGAGGGACGGGGRCCCACTCATCCCGTTTGACCGTCATTGGTATGCGAGACTCGTTTCGGTAGAATTTCATCGCAATGCACTACTKTAGATGGGACAAGTACTTGTGGACGACTGCGAAGAAATATTCTGGCGGCAACGATTGAGTTTTCGTCTGACCGACGACGACGCGGAAATGATCATGGTGCCCGAGTGTATAMCGTGATGTGTACAATTTGTTGACCAAATTCATACCACGGTCGGGGTGACAACGATTCGCATCGTATATCTATGTGGTGATACGGTATAATATATTCTCGTACGGTYAACCGTGGTATATTTTCGTTGAGTTTAGGYATGAAGGGTAAACGGTGTCCGCGGYGACTGCTTTCTCCAGTCAGTTGACTGTACCCACTACCGTAGATTGATCGATCAGCGTCCGTAATATCCGAAATCTGAGTAGATATTTGCGGTCCGAAACGAGGACACGGCCGYGGTGCCTAYGATCAGCGAACGAAAGAATAACCGTCGAGTGGCTCTACAATATTACAATATCGTGACTTCTCAGTTCTCTCCCAAAGGCCTCTCTCTTAGATATAGCTCCAGATCGTTTGAATGATATACACTCAGCATCAGCAATCATGGTTATTGTGAATCGTCCGTAATAATTTTATAGCRAATTGTACTGTAATCGGATGGCCGATCACGGCTGGCGGAAACGTCAGACTCATCGCCTGATATTTAAAGATTTTTATAGTGGAAACTCTGCGTAAGCCACGAACCTAGAATGAAATTWAAAAAAATAAAACACCAGAAAAGTTTTGGGAGGACATCACTTGCTCAGAACGAACCACGAAAACACACCGAGGTAAAATGCATAATGTAATTTAATGGTGTTTAAACTTTTTACTTTTTACTTTAATACGTCTTGTCTTTTGACCTAATGGGGGGTCGGATGGAAAGGGTTCTCGTGTATAATGAATGCCTAATGAGTTCGTAAAACGTTTAYTTTTTATCGGACGACTTCACGATATACTAATTATAACTCATAATAATTAGTACCTAATAATGGTATCTACACAGGAAAATAATCGATGAAAACTATTTATTTTTGAAACAATCAATTTTCTAAAACCTCATGCCRCTGTGGTTAAAATATATTTTTGGATTTAGGTTATACGCCTATATTACATTATGGGTATTTGAAAAAAAAATGAATGAAATAACATACGTACATATAGATATCGCGGTACACAAATTTGAGAGCGTCGTTCCACCTGCGCCTACGGTAGTTTCCGCACTGCCTATAACTAGGACAAAAGGAAAATAAATTAATATTAATTATACTCGGTAGGTAGGTAATTATATGTATACTGCCATCATGTTTACATRTGGGTCATTAATKATAGAGGTGATAGGGAATCTTGATGGGCGAGTTTAATTAATCGTCACCCAGTTTATATTTACAACTAATTATATGGCTGTTGATTATCCATCTCGTAAACATACAAAGATAATAATTAATATCTAAGAGGTTATAAAAACAAGATTTGAGGTATATTTTTATCACTGCATCTACTGTGTTCATCCCTTTATGATTCAGTATTGCTATAAGGATTTAGTAGTCATTTTGAAATTAATGAGCCAAACTATCGCCTATACAGTGTTGTATTGTTATTTATTCATGCTAACTTCATATTTTATTTTTATGTACATTAAAAACTATAAAACTGTGTAATTTATGTTATCTGTGAACTTGCGCACAGGCCTGTAAAAAATTAAGAAGTAACATTTTAATAGAATACATATTTTATTTATATTTTATAATTTATATAGCTTATAAAAAATATTTATTATTATTTTTTGTTATCGCCTTAGTGGTTTCCAAAAAAAAAAAAAAATAAATATGCGCAGTGATCAAAGTGTCTTAAAACGATAAAATTAAAAACCAAGTTTTATGTGCCAATACGATTGCATTATAAAAAATTTAGTTAAATAAAAAATAAATAAAATATAGTAGGTACCTATAAATTCAAGTATGATAGAGAATATATTTTTATAATTTCAAAGGAATGTAAATATACAATTTATTAAATGGGGTGACATTAAATATGTTAATCAAAAATATTGGACAGGATAAAATAACTTTGACTACAGATTACTACTAATATGACGAAATGCTGGATGGTTGGATGATACAAAGCCGATTGTGTTCGTGATATTTTTACGCATAGATAAAATTTCAATTTGAAAACTAAACATTTTCTAAAAACTCATTTTGTAATAAAATTAATATTTTCATGTAAAGTTTAGCTTTTTAATGTTTTTCATTTAAGTATCGATCATAATACTATATCATGGAAATGAAACATCTCATTAAAAACGTACGTTTATTTAGTATTCATAAACATACATGATTTATAATTACAACATCATTTTTAATCGCTAAGGTTGTAGTACATGTTTTGTGATGATTTAAAAGCAATTTAAATTGATGATAAATTATGATACGAAATTCTAAGTCTTATTTATTACGAGATGAAAAGTTTACACTTCAAAATAATATTTTATCTTTTAAAGTTAAAAAGTTTTCTTTAGAAATTTCGGAATTTATTCGATTAATGATAACAACAATCTTTATAGGATTACATATGTCATACACATAAATATTATTTCTGAAATAAAATATATTAGATAACATAAATAAAAAAGTACTCRGGACGTTTTATGATTGAGGTTAAAACCACTTGGATGTCAACAGAAATCGTGTGTCCATAATATTTTTTTCTCGTTGTATTAAATGATTTATTTTATTACATATACGATTTATCTTAATTTTTTTTAGATGGCAAAGTATAGAATAGTGTTAATGAATTAGATTTGAAGTTAATTTTAATTTTTTTTTT